CGAATTAAAGCTAATTTAAAGATTCCTTCTTCTCTCCACAGCGCCGACTCTATACGGTAATGTCTCCCTAATTGACGCTCAAATTGTGTAGAAAAATGAACAATTTAAGAAAAAAAGGTACGATTGTTCGAGCCTTGCGTCTCGTTTTNGATCACTCTCTGTAGTTACTCTCCACGGTCTGCGGCCTCGTTGAACCTTACCCTCCCTGATCCAATCGAAGCCGGTCCTAATACTTTCCCGATGAATTCGCGCGATTCGACCCTTGACCGAGCTCTCGTTCGTTCGTTTGTTCAACGGACACACGTCTCTCGCCTGTTTTCATTGGGAAACGTACACTAAGGCCGCGGCGGCATAGAGAGCTGTCTCCTTGCGAACCGTAGACTCGATTTGCTCGATAACACTGTATAGATTCCGAGAAAACAGTTCCCAGCTTCTTCCGGACCACCGTGTACACATCCCTGACCTAATTATTCCCTTGACGCGCAGCGTCGCGAGCGATGGTAGACCGATTTTTCTTTAATTGCACTTTGAAATCAAAATCTCGAAATAACTATAATACTTGTTTTTATTCCCAGGAATGTTCCAATTGTCGCAAGCTTAGCTATACGCCGAGGGGTTAAAGGTCTACGCTTGGCAGACGAGGTCGAATTAAAGCTAATTTAAAGATTCCTTCTTCTCTCCACAGCGCCGACTCTATACGGTAATGTCTCCCTAATTGACGCTCAAATTGTGTAGAAAAATGAACAATTTAAGAAAAAAAGGTACGATTGTTCGAGCCTTGCGTCTCGTTTTCACAGTTGTTGACGATCGGTTACTATAAAATCGAACCGCAAGGCTCGAATAATCGTATCTCCTCATCCCAGATTGTCCATTTTTCTGCACAATCTGAGCGTCAATTAGAGAGACATTACTGTAGTAGACTCTATATAGTGCTGCTACGAAGACAGCGAACGTAGATGCGTGCGAGACGATAGAGAAACAAAGAGATAGATAGAGAGAGATAGAGAGAGACGGTGGTGGTCGCCGCCCGCTGTCCTGAGGCCTGCGTGCCTGACCAATTCGAGCTCGTACTACTTGCTCCCACGTTCCCCCATGCAGCGACCTTTCACCCTCGCGAAATCGCCCGATCGTTGGCCGCGAATCTACGCTATTATCTCGTCCGCGAATCTACGCTATTATCTCGTCCGCGAATCCGGAGAAACAATGGTCGCGAGCACCCAGACGCCCGATCCTAATCGCTCTCGATGGAGTGTGGCTTTGAAGGGGATGTGGCTTACTGGAGTATGATTGTGTGAGTTGTACGGGGCCCCGTGGTGTCGGGGCCTGGCCGCTGGCCCACTCGAATCAACGGTATTCTTCGCGCGATCTCTCCGAGGCTTTGCTAAATTAATCGTAGAACTCGATATCATTAAATTCTTTTGTTTACACGATTCGAACTTTAATTTTCGTTTTATGTACGACTGATCAGCAATCGAATAAAACGAAACAACGAATTCTCCGAGGATTCGAGAAGACCCCGACACCGGGGACCGCAACCGGGCCCGAAAGGGACCAATTGCCGGCGACAGTGTGATCCGGAACGAGTTCTCGTATATGCGTTAATTGGTGCCACGATCGACGCGTGCGTTCCTAAGACACGACGGGCTACGTGTTATGGATTTGTGAGCATCGTTGCTGGACAGAAATCAGCGATTTTGCTTTGGTCTCGTTGATTAGCGCAGCTGCTCTACGAAGTTCTTTCTAACACAGAGTACAGTAATGTCTCCCTTACTGACGCTCAGACTGTCCACAAAAATGGACAATTTGGGAAGAGGAGATACGATTATTCGGGCCATGCAGTTCGTTTTTATAGTTTTTAAGAATCGATAACCATAACAAAAGAGCCACAAGGCTCGAACAATCGTATCTCCTCTTCCAAAATTGTCCATTTTTCTGGACAATCCGAGCGTCAATTGAAGAGACATTACTGTACAATCAGCTGGGACTGGATTCGCGCGCGTGCTTTGCTGCGTGTGTGTCTGTCTCTGTGTTTCGTCGTAGACTATTTCCGTTCGGTGAACGATATAGCGGGTGGTACACAAAATATATATATATACAGTGTCGTCGCATCGACGGATCGTTTTCTATATTTGCACCGTGTCTTCGCGAATCGTGGTACTGTGACAGTGACGAGAGCCTCTCGCGAGGCAGTCTTTGTTTCGGTTATCGTTCGTGGTGCCCAACGCTGGTCCCCGATTGTAAGATTCACCGATGGATTTATCCGTTCAGGCAGAGAAAGAGAGAGAGAGAAAGATTAGAGACATAGAGAAAGAGAGACAGATAGAGCGAAAGAGAGACAGACAGAGTGAACGAAGGTACACCATCCAACGACTACAGAGGCCCACGGGAGGTTTTTTAGCGAATTCGGTGAGCGAAGCTCTACGTTGCGGACTGAAAAACGGGAACTGAGAAACGGGAACTTTGTCACGGAGGTTCGTTCGAGCTCGTTGTAGAAGCAAGCTGGCTGTTGAGACCGAAAAATTTCAGAATACAAGTCAAAATACAAGTCTAGAACATAATTTTCTTCGCCGGGACTCGATACAGTAATGTCTCCCTTACTGACGCTCAGGTTGTACAGTAATGTCTCCCTTACTGACGCTCAGGTTGTATACAGAAATGGACAATTTGGGAAGAGGAGATACGATTATTCGAATCTCGCGACTCGTTTTTATAGTTGTTGACAACCGATAACCATAAAAACTGAGCAACAAGGCTCGAACAATCGTATTTCCTCTTCCCAAATTATCCATTTTAGTGGACAATCTGAGCGTCAGTAAGGGAGACATTACTGTATCTCGCTTCCTAGTGCATTAAATTCTCAACTTCGTTTCATCGAATGAATAAAAAAACAGGCCTTTTCGAGTCAGCGGCGTTCCTCTCAGAAAGCCGGCTGCACGATCGGCAATTTTGCACGAGTTTCCTCTGCCCCCGCGTTTCCGAGGCAGCTGAAACGTGTTCGGGACCGTTCGAGACGCGGCCGCGATTACCGAGGCCGCGTCGCGCGACGGATGATTCGATTAGTATCCGAAGCTGCGGAGGGTGGGTTTTTTTACTCTGAAAAAAGAACCGTGGCTCGGTTCGCCTGACGGGTCTCACAAAGCGACGGGAATTACCGCGTCACAACCGGCTGGATGTTTATGTCGCTATCGATTGGTCCTCGGCAGTTCGTTTCATCGCACCTGTCCGCCATAAAAACACGGAGGAAGATCGTGGCGCGCGCGCGAGAGCAAACACACACGGTCCCCGTATTTTTAGCCGCGTGTCCACGCGCGGAAAAGCCGTCCGCCGTCTCAACGTCTCCGTCAACGAACCTCCGTCAAACAGTTTCGCCGGGCTGCCCTCGCGATCCTTCTTCCGAGAGAGAGAGAGAGAGAGAGAGAGAGAGAGAGAGAGAGAGAGAGAGAGAGAGAGAGAGAGAGAGAGAGAGAGATATCTCCGCCGGTGGTGATCTTTCGAGGGATCTCCGGTGATCCGAGAGAGCAGCCTGCGCAGTTCCGGGGACCGACGCGACGGTTTCGGGATCGGGATTGGGTCAGAGGATAATAGGACCGCGCGAACACGCGTGGCTAAGGGCTCGCGAGGCTAAGGGTTCGCAAGGAAAGGGCAAAAAGCAATCGGGTAGATACTTAGCTGCTCGGAGCTATCGTCCGACGATCGATTTGCGTGTGAGCCGGGTGTTCTATCTCTCTAATAATAGGCCGATATGCGCGCGCAGTGCTCTGCCCGCGACATAGTCGCGTCTTCGGTCTGCGGGGACCGAAAACATGGCCGTTTGTGGGCTCCGATCAGGCCGAAAGTGGGGACTAGGGCGCAAGCACGCGAGAAACTGCTGTTCTCGCTTATGGCGGCCATTGGAGCGGCCATTGCAGCGGCCATTAGGCCGCGGCCGGACCTAAAAGGTCTTCTTACTCTTCTCGGACACGACTTCGTCTTCCAGGCTCTGCTTCTCCAACGAACACCGCCCGAAATAACTTCGCTGTAGCTCTTCGTTTCGGCCTTAACCCTTCCAGCCGGTTTTCCACGTGCACGCGTACGTCGACGTCGCATCGGTCACCGTGTATACATAAAAATGTCGTACCGCGTCGAGTTGTTGCACAGGCAAATCTTCGTAAGCTATTCATTTATGGAAAAGCGAAGTTACTTTCGCGATCAATATGAATGTAACACGATAGAAATGTGATGCAAAAGAAATATAATCGAAGCCTCGGAGATTTGAATATCGGCTCGAGGGTTGACTTGCTGCGAAGACTAGAACCACTTTGCTGCAAAGACTAGGTCCTATCGAAGTCGGAGCGGTCTTCTTTCGAGAAGCAGAGTGTCGCGTCGACTGCGGATTTTTCGGGACAATATTCGTTACGATCTACGGGAACGACCGATCGGTGCACTGTTACATCGCTATTGTAAAATGCGTGATTTTAATTTAATATCAATTTAATATCGATTGAATTTAAATTGAATTTAAATTGAATTTTCATTAGATTCAATTCAATCGAATCGAATTCGAAGCAACTGCTACGAAATTGAAATTCTTCCATTCGTCACGATGCCTCGAAACGATCGATGATCGCGAAAGGGTTAAATTACAGAGAAAAATCCGCAGAGGACGACCCACGTGGAACGCGATGATCTCGGGTTCCGAGAACGACCGGCAAGATCCGATCCGCATAAAACGCACCTTCTCGGTGCAGCCAGAGCCTAAAAGTTCGTGATTCTTGGGTGGTTGAGTTGGTCGTCGATTAAAAAAAGTAGTAATAAAGAAAAATCGTGCGCGTCGTTTCGCGGAAATCCCCGGGATCCGGGGATCGTTCCCCTAAGGGGAAAGGATGCTAGAATCATCTAAGAGACAGATAGAGGCAGAGAGAGAGAGAGAGAGAGAGAGAAAGAGAGAGAGAGTGAGAGAGAGAAAGACAGAGAGAGAGAGAGAGATAGATAGAGAGAGTGAGGAGGTTTGGGTGTCCTACCTTTAACGTCATCGTCCTCGATCGTTGTGCTGCTGTCGGTCGATTCCTTCACCTGAGAGCCGTCGCCCTTCTTCGTGCTCCGACCTGGAGCACGCAGAGCGTTTTTCAGTGAGATCGGCGCAGACAATTATGGGGCGGCATACGCAAAATTGTGTAATTCTCAGACAGACAAACGGAGAGAGACAGAGAGAGAAAGAGAGAGAGAGAAGTGGGAGAAACGGGGCTTGCTGTTTGTCAAGGTTATTTTGTGGTTGGATCACGAGACAAAACGAGGGATCGGGATGATAACGGGTTATATTAAGGTTATATTGGGACGGAGATTGCACGCGACAGAGCTCGCAGCTGGATTAGAGCACACAAAAAGACGACGAACGACAGGGGATGTGGGATCGAGGGACGTCGAGAGAAGAGAGCTTGGTCGATCGACCCATACTCGAGAGCCAGGGATCGTCTCGCGATCGAGACGCGCCGATCGAGATGCGTTCGAGGATCCCGAGGGATTCTTGACGGTGTGTCGTGATCTTGAACGAGGCTCCGGTAAGTTTCAGGAACTGCCGAGGATTCCGGAGAATCTCTCGTTCGAGGTCATCGACTGGGATTTCGGACGAGACACAGGGTACGAGAGAGTTCGTGCTAGAGAAGCGCTCGTGCGAGTCACAAGGAGACAGAAGCTTCAACAACAAGAAGAACAAGACGAAGAAGTACAAGAAGAAGAAGATAAAGTAGAAGTAGAAGAAGTAGACAGACACTGCTCGAAATTCGGCGGCTCGAAGGCACCGCCGGAGCAGCGAGACGCATCTCGATCGAGAGTTTGGATCACCCAAGATCTGCCAGCTAATTAATCCCCGATCGGTTCTCAAACTTCGCTATTCGCTTCTACGCGGCATCGAAGATCCTTTATAAACAGGATGCGAAGATCTTCTGGAACTGCAGACCGCAGTGCACTATGACAGCTTCTACGACAAGACTATAACTAGAAATGCAATCTAACCGACCGAGGTTTAAAGATCGCTGTGGAAACGTCTATCGGGGCTTGTCGGAGACCTTGAGCTTCCAGTTGGTCGCGGATCTACGGATCTACGGATCTACGGATCTACGGATCTACGGATCGACCGGGATCGACGCAACGATTCTCCGAAAACGTCGAATGAAAGTCATGCTCGTTTACTGTATTTGGCAGGGCGGGGAACGGATCGTTAGCGCGGCGATTAAACGAGCGCGAGGTTCGCTCCAATTAGGCGACGCGACGCCTGTTTAATCACCGTTACCGTCGACGAGGTTCCCGCTGCGTCGACCCGGTCGTACCACGTCGCCGACTATAGTCGCTATAGTCTTCTGGAGGAAGCTCGGGAAGATCCGCGCATCTTCCCGGCGAGACTGAAGATCAAGAGACAGGGTGTAGATCGAGGAGGAGCTCGAGGACACGTGTCTTGACGTGTGACAAAAACGGAGAAGAGAGACAGATAGGTAGAGAAGTTGGAGAGAAAGAGAGAGACGAAGTAACAAAAATCGGAATAACACAGAAGAAAGTGTAGGCAGAAGACAGGAGACAGAAACGGAAGACAGAAGACAGAAGACAGAAGACAGAAGACAGAAGGCAGAAGACATAAGACAGAAGACATAAGACAGAAAACATAAGACAGAAGGCAGAAGGCAGAAGACAGAAGACGTAAGACAAAAGACAGAAGACAGAAGGTAAGACAGAAGACAGAAGGTAAGACAGAAGACAGAAGGTAAGACAGAAGACAGAAGGTAAGATAAAAGACAAAACACAAAAGACAGAAGACTTAAGACAAAATACTTAAGACAAAAGACAGAAGACTTAAGACAAAAGACAGAAGACTTAAGACAAAAGACAGAAGACTAAAGACTTAAGACAGAAGACTTAAGACAGAAGACTTAAGACAGAAGACTTAAGACAGAAGACAGAAGACGTAAGACAAAAGACAGAAGACTTAAGACAAAAGACAGAAGACTTATGACAAAAGACAGAAGACAAAAGACAGAAGACAGAAGTCTCAAGACAAAAGACAGAAGACAGAAGTCTCAAGACAGAAGACAGAAGTCTCAAGACAAAAGACAGAAGACAGAAGTCGTAAGACAAAAGACAGGAGACTTAAGACAGAAGACAGAAGACTTATGACTTAAGACAGAAGACAGAAGACAGAAGACGTAAGACAAAAGACAGAAGACAGAGTGGATCGAGGACATGGATTCCATAGGTTCTAAGTGGGAGAGCACTCTAGTGCATGTGTTCAGCATGCGAGACAATCGTGATTAATCAGTCAATCAATCAATCAGTGAATAAACCCGCGAGCGTGTTCCGCCGATGCTCTCAAGACGAGATTGTACATTGGTGCCAGGAGAAAAATGGTCCTCGGTGTGTTTACCTTTCTGATGGCTCCTTCTCGAGAGCTCGGCTTGGCGTGTATCCGTGCCAGAAGCGTCGTGAACGAATCGCAAAAGAGAAACACTGTTAAACTGCATGCTTCAGCGGTGTGCGAATGTGTGTCCGATATATGCAGGCTGTTTCGAAAACGTTGAGACCGATCTCTTCTGTTTCCAGTGGCGATCCCGAAGATCGGCGTCGAGTCGATTTTTCCTTGGCAAAAATATTCCCCGCGACTTGTTGAACAAGAAAAACAATAAAAACAAGAAAGCAGCCGGAAGATCGAAAAAGTATTCAAGAATATATTATATTTAAAAGAATGCATTATTTTCAGCTCGACAAAATGATTCAAGAATGAATTTTCCTCGCAATCGACGAAGAAAACGTTCATTTCGCGTAAAGATCCGCGATCTACAGTAATGACTCCCTAACTGACGCTAAGAATTCTTCCCAGATTGTCCACAATAATGTACAATTTAGGAAGAGGAGACAGGATTATTCAAGCCCTGCGAGCTCATTTTTATAGTCGTTGACAATTCGTAACTATAAAAACGAACCGCAAGTCTCGAATAATCGTACCTCCTCTCCCTAAATTGTCCATTTTTGTGGACAAACTGAGCGTCAATTAGAGATACATTACTGTACTCGCTGTCGAAGCCGCGCAGAACATTTTCGTAAAGGGGCAAATCACTTCGAATCGTCTCAGGAATCAGCCGTTTTTTTGCAACATCTTCGGGGACAGCTTGCGCGGGTGGTTTTCAGAAAGAAAGTGTGCGTGTCTTTGGTGCGCTCTCGTTCGTCGTGCGTGCGTGCGTGCGAGCTTGCGTGCGTGTGTATGCAATCATGTGTGATTGTTCTCTCTCTGGTTCTCGAGATTCGAGAGGAAAGTTCGAGAGAATCGCGACGGTTTAGGCCAGGCTGCTCTCGCATTGCTCCAAACGAAAACTCGAGACTCTGTGTGCATGTCTCTGCGTGTGTCTCTGTGCTCGCGATCGCTATGCCGGACACTCTCTGGTCAAGCAGATGCGTCTCTATCTCGTTCAGGAATTCTCGGGTTCGACCAGCTCTTGAAAACACGGCCATTCATAGCATGCTGCGAGGCCCGCCGAGGCCCGCGTTCTACCCGTTCTAGGCCCAAGTGTGTTTGCTTGCATTCTTTTTGCTTGCTTGCAGCGTGACCGGTCGCCTGCTCGATAAATGCCGGCGAGAAGGATAGACTGAGTCGGAGAAAAAAGCGAGGCGGAAAAGCGAAGGCATGCCAACTGTCCGTCCGGACCATTCTGTCGCGGCGGTTTCCCTACCTTGATTAGCATTGCCTTAATTATAGTATCGATCCGATCATTTTCGACTACCGTCGAAACGACGATTACGCGAACGTGTCTCGCCGACGAATGTCTTTCCGTTCTCGCACTTCCTGTGTCATGGTATTAGGTCATCTTCTGTGTCGCGTTAAGACAGTCGGAGCCAGCTCAGTGTTCAAACCACTGTTGCTCGAAACCTAACAACCCCTTACAGTTGCAACGACCCGAGAGAAACAATTTCATACGTGATCAACTAAATATGAATATTATTCGTGTTTCCCGAAACGATATACAGTAATGTCTCCCTAATCGACGCTCAGATTGTCCACGAAAATGGACAATTTTTCGACAATTATTGGACAATTATTCGAGGCTTGCGGTTTAGTTTTATAATTAGAAAATTGTCGACGACTATAAAAACGAGCTGCAAGGCTAATCGTATCGCCTCTTCCCAAATTGTCCATCTTCGTGGTACAACCTGAGCGTCAATTAGGGAGACATTACCGTATAATTCGATTCTTCTTCCGTCAAAGTCTAGGAATAAGAATAAACGAAGGCGCGCAAGGAACGAAAATTGTCTCGTTCCATTAGGAGAAGATTGTTAACGATGAAAGGAGGATTAGTCGACGTAGTTGCGAAAGAAATCGCGTCGCAAGGGGTCGGGTGAAACACTGTAATTTGAAGAAACGTTTAGCATCCCCATTGGCGGGGCAGTCAAAGCGTTAAAACGAATTTGTATGTCGGAGAATTCCGACGGAGAAGAGAGCCCGAATCAACGAGATTCTAGAAAAGGAAGAAGATGCTTCGCGTTGGTTCTTATTCGACGGAGAGGCGACCGCTCTCTTTCGAACGATCGAACAGCGAAGAAAGAAACGTCGGAACGTCCTGTGACCGAAAGCAGAGGCGACCTCCGTAGGAGCTCGTGGCCGCAACAGAGAGAATCTGGTTCGTCTAATACCGTGAATTAACGGGAAACCGCCGTGGAACGAACCGGTCCGGGATAGAAGATTGTCCGGGATCGTGTATCGTGTGTGTCGTCGTGTGGCTTATCGTTTATCGGTCGGATGGATTCCCGATATCGTTCGGGATCCGATAGAGAGAGAGAGAGAGAGAGAGAGAGAGAGAGAGAGACAGAGAGATAGAGAGAAAGAGAAAGAATTCGGAGATGTTATGGAGGGTGTTTTCGTTGCACCTCCGACCCACTTCGCGTACAAGTTGCGTACCTTTTCGTCAGAAGCGATATCATATCAGTCGTTATTGGAGGATCATATAGATCTTCTCGGTGAAAATGTAGATCGTTTTCGATATATACCGTGTGTCCCGCAGTTCTCCGTGACATATTTCGCCCAGGAAATATGTCGCGAGTACGATAAATGTCAAAAATATCAAAAATA